GCGCAGTACACCTACATGTAACTGGTTTCAATGGAATAGCCAAGTGTTAAATAGGTCCATAACCTTACAAGTTGGAAGGCTGTCGGTTAGCGCTACGGAGATGTGTTGAAGCTAGGTGTCAGGACGTCGAATGTCCAAGTACTCTGTCAGTTTTGTGCCTAGTTTTTGCACTTTCTGACTGTATATAGTACAGTATCTGGTTACAGTGATGGAGAGTTACTCTTAACTCGTATCCATATGTCCTTTTCCTTTCTATATGTATTATTGGCTCAACATCCGAGTATTAAATAGTTCGCTGCTAATTTCGCCTCTTGGGCACAAGGTATTTTGAAAGAAGTATTGAAGTCGACACTGCACAATCTGTTGGAGTTTAGTAGTGCTTCAGTATACATGTATTCACAATTATGATTGTATTAACTTAACCTAATACATCATCACTACACTAATGAGACAAAACTAGGAGCTGGTTACTAGTCTGGAAGCGGAAGATGGAGGACACTCTAGTGGTTTAGAAGGCTAGGACTGGCACATGTGTTTCAGCCACATCACACCCAAGCACCACTGTACCACTAGTACCCTTCCAGCTTGTCAGGCAGAGCCAGAGAAGAAAGCATACTAGTACGCCGAGGACTGTATCGACTGGGAATACATCAGATTCTGTATGTCCGACCAAGAGTCATCCCCCCCCCCCCCCCCCCTGAGCCTCCCCCCTGGTCCGACTCTTACTAAACATCCAGGTACAGTCAGGAGCAGAGAAGCAGAGCATTCCACTGCAACGCTGCCATACCATTACAGCATTAGAGAAGGTTGTCCAGCGTGTCCTCAGCTTGTTGCTTATCCTCCATTTGATCAGCGCCAGGTTGCTCGGCACCTGTTACATCCTGCGTCGACTCTGCTTTGTCTGAGTTCACCGTGGAGGGTTTTGACTTTGATGTGGCTGCACCGCTTCGTCTTGACTGGGGAGTTGCTTTTCTCAAACTCAGATCCCCCGAGGTTTGCATTGGATTTGTGCTGCTAGACGGATCATCTTGCACATCCGCTGAGGTTTGCCTTGGGTTTGTTCTGCGTGACTGTTCGTCTTGTAAATCCCCAGAGGTTTGTCTTGGACTTTCTCTGCGTGACTGTTCATCTTGTAAATCCGCGGAGGTTTGTCTTGGACTTGATCTGCGCGACTGATTCTCTTGCCGTTCTCCGCTAGCGGCACTGTCTGCTTTGACCGACATGGTTTTGGTGTTTTTCGCGCTCGTCTGTGGACGCAGTGCTGGTAGATAGACCTGTCTGTAACCGTCTGGCGGTGGTGACTCACACAACTCTTCGTTCTTCTCCTGTTTTCCCAGTGCACGCATCTTCCACAGTTTATACCAGGGCGTCTCATTCTGGCTGCGCGACGGCGCGTCCGCTGCACCCATACCCGTGGCTGCACTGGCATCAACCTGTTGCAGCTTTCCGGCGTGTATGTCTCCTTGCTGCTGTCTCATGTATTGCAGTGCAGCATGACTATCGCACAAACACCCCTCCGGATTTCCAGGCTTGGCAAACTTCATGTTGTCGAAGATGTTCATGTGTGCGCCCTGGTCACCCTGCAAGCGCTTCTCGCGTCGGCCAGTCTCTTCAACTATCACGTCGAATGCTGACGCCGCTGTTGGGGCTGGTGCCACCAGAGGCTTCCAGTCCTGTGAGTGGAGCGCTTCGCCATGCTGCTCCTCCAGATGCTTGGAATATTTGACTTTCTGACTTTCCTGTATAGCAACAGCAGGGAGAACGGGACGTTGCGCTAGGGTGCCATAGCTTGGTAGAGACTCATCGAGGAATCCGACGTCAGGTCGTTCTAGCTGGCAAGGTATCTGCAGTAGTTGCATGGGAGGCAGGCCATTATGCGCTAGTGTTTGCCATTTACCCTGTACAGCCGGCTTAGGTGAGACGGCTGGCGGAGAAGACGGCTGCGACACAGTCGTGTTCGTGGCACTATGTGGTGGACTCGACGCCATTCCTCTATGACGAAGTGTCTCGATCTTGTAGGAAACGTTCTTGCGCGCAGCGAATGTTCTCGTGAGCGCCCACTGAAGGCTTCCACAAAGACAAACAAGGGGCATCGGTCGGATAAGTGGTTACCACGAGGAACTGCAGAACGCCAGCCTTCTCTAGGTTTGGTCAGAAGAAATCTTCATGCCGCCCTCGTGTGTGATCGAAGAAGACCAAAGTTCAGCCGCTCGCACTTTTCCCTTTTGTTCGTCTCTAAGTTGGTGTTTCATGGGGCGATCTAGCACTTTACAGCCTGGATGAGATCAACTTCTGCCTGTTTTCCAATCCGACAACGAGTGACTGCACTGAGCCCTGGTCAAACAAGAGAGACATAGCGATAGCATACCCACCGAGAGTACTGAGCGCCATTTGCATGCCGGGAGCTGGAGTGACTCTAGCGCTGAGTCAGTGGGTGATGATGCGTTCGCAGGTCTCTTTAAGTTAAAACACTAATAACATCATCGCATGTGTACACTCGCCTACACACATACAGAACTTAGAAACCAGAAGGCGTGCGTGAAAATGTGGAAATCAAGTCTGTATAAGCGCATGGGCATGCGTCTATGCGTCGTCAGCAGCCACAAGAGCCAATTCCTACAAATTCCTCAAGTGTGCAACTGCTGCGAGAAAGCTGGCCTCCCCTGTCAATGGCGTGTGGCAAGCGATATCTATATTGCTCGCACAAGACAGAGGTGACGAAGTATCATAACAGTACTCGGAGTATGAAAATCACGAACTGACACATCCCACCGAATCCAACCTACGCCACAACAATCACACTGTCCTCATTTCCCCAATGAATCTAAGCCTAAGGACACAGCACTGGTTAGTGGCTATTGAAGGTCATCTGATCTAAAGCCCCGCAAATGTCCACAAAGACAGTGAGTATAAGTCACATGTATACCGCGATCGATAGCAAACAGAAGCAGCCTGAGGGTGTAGCAAATTCCAGAAGTCCTGCAGCATATGCCTCGTGAAGGTGGTAACCATTACCGCTAGGTGATAAATTAAATTTAGCGGGAAAGCATGCACAAGGGAAGAAAAGAAAAAAGGGAAACAGAGAAAGAGAAAGAGAAGGTGAAAAGTGAGACCAAAGAGTTTCATTCAGTTTCAAGAGTTTCATTGGTTCTGGTTGCTCGCAATTCATTTGAAGAGAAGGCTGTTTCACTTGTCTACGTGATTTCAGTCAGGGGCGGATCCAGGATTTTTCCAAGGGGGTTCAATTTTTCCCACCCTACCCACAATGACGAAATGATGACATACACGTACACATGTAGGTCTACATGATTGTATAACAAGTAATTCACACGTTCGCGTTATGGGTCGCGCGCCAAGTAATACTTGAACATGCCAGCTTCTATACAAATGTAACTTCAGTACCCCTGTTTTCAACACTCTGCAGCTAAAACATTATTGAAGACACGCAGCACAAGGAAGAAATTTTCAATTTCTTTACTGCAGAATAGCTGATTGGTACGAGTTTCCGATTCCAGCAGCTTGTCTGTAATAACTCATTAATTGTCCATAATTTTGTACTCCGAGCCGCCCGATGTTGACTCCACTGTACAGTAGGTTCCATATGGCAGGCTTCCTGCATCTTTCGTGTCTCATTATTTGTCCCAGTTCGCAGAAATTTTGATTATTGGATGATAGGACGTTGAACTTGAAGGTGATTTTCAAAGTTTCGCTCTTTGTTTTACCTTCGAGACTACTAGTGGCTACACTTTTCTTTGGAGTGTCACCAAAATTCAATGACAGCTGGTCTTGATCCTGCCTCTTTTAGACGCTTCGACGACGAACTCTAAGACAGCTCAAAAAGCACGAGCCGTGACGACAATTACAGCACTGCACGGCCACTATTCACTTTCAGGATCTAGTTTTTGAAACTATAAATACTTACTTTCGAAGTTTCCGCAGCAGCTCAACAAATGCATGCACCTCTTTCTCCGATGCGAACGCGTAGCTGTAGATCGAGTGGAGATCTACCATTGTGTCTACCAAGCTGCATAGCTAGCGGACAGCTCTTGCCTGCAGGCCATAGGCATAGCATGGGGCGAGCACGTCGCACGGGCATGGGTTCGTGGTCACACCCGAACTATGGTCGGAAAAAATCAGGGGGGTTCGTTCGAACCCCCCGGACCCCCTGGATCCGCCCCTGATTTCAGTGTTGGCAGACTGACATGGTGCAACAGGGAGGAGTGGTGGCATGGCTTGAAGATTGGGATATGGAGGCATAGTTTATTGGACGGCGCTGTAGACGCGCCTGGGCATCCGGCTGATGAAACGTAAGTGCAGAGAGAGAGAGAGAGAGAGCAAGGCTTCCATATTCCAGGATGGGGCGAGTGTGTACAGTGTATAATAATTATACAGTCAACTTCGCTTATAACGACACTCGGCGGGGCATCAAAAAAGTGTCCTTATTCGCGAAGTGTCGTTATACCCGAAGTCTCATTATATGTGCTACAGTTAGATGGGACTTTGCTCTGGGCATGGAAACTCGGTCGTTATTCGCGAATTGTCATTATATCCGCAGTCGTTATTAGCCAAGTTGACTGTACATGTACATGTAAGTTGTTAGATTGACAGCATGAAACAAGGTGGAGGACACTGTGTTCCCAATATGCGTGAACTATAACAAGGTTTATCTAATACTAGTTTTGAACTAGTAACAGTTATTGGGTTATATAATACCTTGTACATGTAAGCAGCAGTGCCACACGCGATCGAAGGCTTTCGAAAGGTCGAACAAGCAGGCATAGAAAGTGTTGTGCATTCGCCCTCATGGAATACCACGGCATGCCCCCCCCCCCCCCCCCCTCCGGAGGCTCGCTCTTGGCACCGGAATGGCCACGGAATGAGCCACCACAGAATGCACTCGCGACAAAACTGCCCCTCACGTGAGCGAATCACCACGGGTACTCACGGCACGTTATGTATCACCATTTTCATGTACTCTTGATTATATTGAATTGTACGGGGTTATTGTCCATATTGAAAAACTAAAGAAAATCTTTTGAATTCTATTGTATTGATTGTTTTGCTGATTAAATGTATTAAATTTAGAAAGAAAAGACCAAAAAGGTTGCATGCTATCCGCAACTGTCCAACACATGCCACCAAGTCACTGGTGAGACAGAACGGGCTACAGTTAGGACTGATATAATATGACTGACATACATGCACAACTACCTGATGTTATGCTCCATCGCGTGGTGAACGCGAAACACAACAGCCTTCTAACTTGGAATGTTCTAAGCTATGAACTAACGTTAGGGAGGGGAAGGTAGTCGCAATCTCCACGAAAACAAGCGAAACATTTGCGCGCAGCTGGATAATGCGGACCAAGTGCAGGTGACTGTCATGCACACTTTGAAATGGTAGAAGATCGAATCAAGTAAATGAACGAGGCAAACAGCTATTGTCGCTCTTCAACGTCACATTTTCCAACATCGCAAATCCATTTTAGGGACAGGTCATTTAATTAAATTTGTTTTACCTGCGACATCCTTTCTTCACAAATATGTGTTTGTGTGGGTGGGTGCCAGTATGTGTGTGTGTGTGTGTGTGTGTGTGTGTGTGTGTGTGTGTGTGTGTGTGTGTGTGCGTGTGTGCGTGTGTGTGTGTGTGTGTGTGTGTGCGTGCGTGCATGCAAGGAAGTGAGCATGTGAGAGGGCAGGGGGAGTAAGTGGATAATCAGGAAAACCGCTCACAGCTACAGCTTACGGATTGGTGTAATGTAAACCAGTGTACGAAAAGTCGGCCTGGAGAAAGCAATGTAATCAGAGCAATTAAGAGTACAACTGAATTAGCGTACTGTGAGTAGCTAGTGGAGAAGAGGTGATGCAGATTACAAGTTGCAAGTTGCAATGTTCCGCCTGTACAAGAACACGTGTAAATATGAGCAACAAAAACACCACACAACACACCACTGTCAGATTTTCCGTCAAATGTCAGCAAAAAAAGTAAAGTAAATTATCGTGACCGTTCCCAAAGGGAACAACAAAGACCCCAAAGACCAACAAAGACCCCACGCAAAGTTGGACATCCCTGGATTCCTGGATTCCTGGTTGGACTGTCTATCAACTCACTTTAATATGTAGGAATCAGTGTCTGCTCTAGGATTGTAGGGCAGCCGGGTACACGTGTACCTGGCGCAACCATTTCCACCGGGTCGGAGCCGGGTACACATGTACCTGGCGCTGTCTCACCACGACGACCTGTTTTCCTAGAGTCCTGGAAGCAGGGCCTGTTTATTCGCCTCTTCGCTGGAGGCTCCATTTCCAAAAATAACACCTCAACGATCAAGCTTGAATTGAGCAAGTGCACACACCGGATAATAGAGAGGTTTCACTTCACGTTGTTCTGCACTACACTGTGAAATTTTACGTCGGTGTGGCACATTTTGGCGTCGAAACTCCCGTTCATGACGTGAGCTGAGGTCAACTCACGTTCGACGTGAACCCGAGTTTCACGGTGTAGTGTAGAACAACGTGAAGCGAAACCTCTCTGCTGACTACTTTCACTTCGACGCGCGCCTCTGCATGATCTGTCACACATACAAGCCATGTAGTCAGTCCTTTCAAAGTTCGAACGTGTTTAAAAAAAAAGCACCAACCGGGTCACAGGTGACCCGGTACTATATTTTCAGCCGGGTCCAAGCGCCGCCCAACCGGGAGGATTACTCGGCTCACCCGGCTCTGGAGCAGACACTGGGAATACACCAATGGCCTGAACAATGTGAAAATGCTCTGCACACAGGTTTCTTTCTTTGTAATCTAGGATTGAATTGTGATTTGGCAAAACTCACAAGACACATCTGGCCTATCAGACCTGACTAACCTTGATCGTCGACAGGCAAGTTATCGGCCAATAGCCTTTTCAGCAACCATGTACAAATGCGATAGCACATCGGTTTCTGGATCTTTGGTCTCCATGGCAACATTCATGACCAGCAGAGCAACGAGTGTTACTGTCAATATTACGGTGATGGCAATGAAAATATTCGTCTTCGTCTCTTCACTGTTTCCACTTGCTACAGCTGTGCATACACAACAACAACACGCATACTATCAGATAGTATCTGGGTTATGTTTTCCTCTGAACTATGCGTTCGGAAGGAAAATGTTTTGTCTCTTCAGTTGTTTGGCGCAAATCCTCGTGAAATTATCAAGAATACTGCTCCTCATCGATGTCTTCATTGTGTTTTAGTCATCTCGTCACCTTCACCCTGTTCTTGACCTGTCCAGCTGAATTTTATTTTTATTCCACGTGTATAGCGTGAGGTTTTGATCTATGCTTTTCAACACGGCTTCAGCTCTATAAGTTACTCTATTTGACATTTTCCATTATTCCCTGTACTTGCTTGCCCATGAAGAGAAGGGAACGAAAACATTCGGTTACTAAATTGGCTTAACTTGACTGTGGATTGCGCTGTTGCTGACACTTCTTTCGAAATTGGATACGCCTCCAATTTTTTTCCTTAACTTCTATGATAGGAAAAAGGTTTCCGAGCAGACTCGCTCTCTTCCCATTCACTCTGCAAACTCATTCCTCAATCAATGATAGAGCAATACAATGTGTGCTGCTCCGAACGAGTTGGCAGTAAATTTCCCAATGATCATGAATAAAATTTATTGTGAAACTCAGAATAACATCAGTACACCCAGAGCTACGTGCAGCAGCCTGAGCAGGTACTTACTTCTGTTAGATTGACACGAGATGGGATTGCCTTTCCAAATACCACCACCACTATCACCACCACCACCACTAACAACAGCAGTACCCGCCGGGGCAAGCACGACAGAGTCGTCGCATGTCAAGATCGTATCTCCACCAGTTGTAAAATAGCCCTCGTTGCAGGTGAGTGTGACATTTGATCCATACGTAAACACTTTGCCGGTAAAGTGACTGTTTTTATCTGGTGTCGGCGGACCGCAATCAATCGCAAGGCAGGATGACTTGACCGGACCCCATGTGGGTCCCAGAAGACACTGAGCCGACAATGCGCCTGCACTTGACCTATAACCACGCATACAGGTGATATTGAGTGTGGTCAACACCGGCACATAGCTGTCATTATGCGTTACGTGGGCATTTGCAGGCAATTGCAAATCAGACACGCTGCATGCTAAAAACAGACAACAATAGCAAACAGAATGCACACTCACACTGGATACAGAGACAACAACCACAAATGATTCAACAAAGAGCTCTGTCATGCCATGCTAGGTCCCTGACCTCACTGATGTCTCTGATAACTAGATAACTGAGCTGAACACTCCAGTCACATTGTCACCATAATCATTAACTTTATTATTTGAAACTCGGATGTTGAGCCATAAATAAATGTAGAAAGGAAAAGGATACGAGTTAAGAGTAACTCTCCATCACTGTAACTGGATACTATAATATACAGTCACCAGACGCGGGTAGCCTATCGAGGGGTTCTCCACTTGTGCGATATTGAATAGGTAGCAGAGGGGGGGGGGGGGGGGGGAGGATTGAATAAATTAGCTTTATGGCTTCGCTTGGTTTACACCCTGACTGTGAAGCAGAGAGTCTACAGTAACCATGGTAACATCATGCGGGGGTCGGTACGTACTGACTTTGAAAAGGAGCTACCCAATGTTCATGGATTGTCATTTTTCAACATTGCAAGCATGTAATGGAGATGCTAGCCAAAGAGTGTGTGACTGCTACTCATCATGTACATAATTATTTTACTAATCTTTTAAAACCCAAACTCTCAAAGTGTCTGACACAGATGGAGAGACAAGGATAATATAATATTCGCGGGACCCGCGTCGGCATCGCTTGAATGTTCAGAAACACATCGTGGCAAACTAGCCTTCGCATCCGCAGGCCACCACTATGCCTGTTCACCTTAGTGGCGAATGCAGACCTCACAAGTGAGTCAGGGGAGAGGAGGTTAGTCTCTCGACCAATCGGGCGTGTAACGGCCCATAACCCTGTAAACTGCATCCTTGTTATTCTCACTCCGAGCTGTGAGCACCCAGTTGACCGTGGGTGTCGGCGCAGTTCAACACGCGTAAACAGTCTTTTTACACGCTCCCTGCTACCAGCGCAGGTCTTGAACTCGGGACCTCACGATTCGCAGGCAGGCCTGCAAACCAATCGGCCATATGCGTTCGTAGACAAGGATAAACATTATTTAAAACATGTACATGCAGCTTACCGAGACCGGCTATGTATGCCACATGTCCCAATAGACACAGAGTGCTAAGCAATAGCTTATTAGTAGATGATGTCGTCATGTTGCCTCGGTAACAGTTCTGGAGTTGCACGGTAACAATTCTGTTGTCTGAGTAACAATTCCGTTGTTGCCTGGGTAACAATCAGCCAACACATACAATTATTATACTGTTCAATTTTTAAAGGATCAGTCGGGGAAGTAAACTGCCTGAAGAGAGAAAACATGCAGGACCCACCAGGATTCAAAACCGGGACATTGCTTGTCATGAGCAATGCTCTAACCAACTGGACCATGGGACCACACAGACAAGTTTTTCACTCCAAAGGCAGCTCACAACCCGTGCCACACATACTAATGGCAATTGGGTCTTTTTCCCTCCCAGAGGACCAACCCCGGTCAAAACCCGCAACCTTGCTTGTCATGAGCAATGCTCTAACCATCTGAGCTATGGAACCAGGCCGAACCTAGAAGGCGCTGACAAGCTGGCATTTTTTTCTCTTTTCAGGCAGTTCAATTCCCCGACAGATCCTTTAAAATTTGAAGTTCTCCCAATCCTTTAAAAAAGAATTATTGTGTTTGTAAAAAAAGGTGTCAGCACCAACGCAATCCGACCACACAGTCAAGTAAGCCAATTTAGTAACCGAACGTTTTCGTTCCCTTCTCATCATGGGTAAGTACAGGGAATAATGGAAAAATGTCAAAATACAGCAACTTATACTATAGAGCTACAGCAAAAGCATAGATCAAGAACCTCACAGTATACTTTCGAAATTGAATATGCCTCCAATTGTTTCCTTATAATAGTAGTCGTCCCTCTATAATCCGGCGCCTTTTGCTACAGTGTTTTCTGCTGGATTAACGAGGGTGCTGGATTAAGAAATCCTGTGTCCGCTTACACGTCCCTACCCAATTGCATGCATGTATCATATGTACGTCAAAACGCAGGGTTTTTCCGTGTCGACCCAAGTATTTGGTGCACGGCTTTATAGTTCTCAATTGTTCTCCGGGAATATACACAGTGATAAAGTAAAACAGAGAACATGTTCACATGTACTCTTGCACACACACGCACACACACACTCACCTGAAAATTGGCAGGACACTACTCCTTGCTAAAATAAGAAAGTATGGTTGGTTGACTGCCGTTGTCTCCTGGACAACATTGACCAGACTGGCCTAGCCTGGCCTGGCAAGGAGTGCACCTGTACGGTACGCGATTTACGACTGCCGGATTATGAAATCAAACTACGTGCAGTTTGAGCGATTCGTTTCAAAAAGTCACTGCCGGAGGCGGAATTCAAGTGCCGGATTAAGATGTAGGAATTGAACGAAAAAAATCGGTTTCGTCAGAAAGTGCGCCGGTTGGCAAGGGTTCCGGATAAACAAGTGCCGGATTAGAGAGGGACGACTGTATTGTGTTTGTTTTCACTAATATCTCCGTCAGTCACTTGTTCACTGCCGGTGTTATAATTTGGTACATACATCACAACATCATTATTGTACTTCAAAGTATAATTATATCACTTCACTTCCCTTTTATAGCTTTCGTTTTGGCTGCATAGTTTGCACCTAATGGTCATGAAATCCTATGTTATTGCATGTTACCAAGAGTACATAACCCCCAGAGTGTGCAGTGCCTAATCCAGTTCTGCATAGGGTCTTGGTCGAGCGTAGTCGGATCTTCTGATGTCATGCGTACACTTCACACCAGCGCAAGGCCGGTCTCGAGGCAGGGCACCATTGTTTTTGATCCTAGAGTACCCGCGACTCCCCGGGTTCCCCTCAGATGTGTACGGTATTATGACGCAAAGATCCGATTACGCTCGACCAAGACCCTATGCAGAGCTGGATCAGGCATTGCACACTCTGGGGGGTTATGTACTCTTGATGTTACTGATCAGTGACGATATTCCACTGAAGAATATCGCAAGAAAACGTTCTGGATACAAACCTTGCTACATGTACGTTGTTTTCTGTGTGCGCGTGTGTGTGTGTGTGTGTGTGTGTGTGTGTGTGCATGTGCGCGTGTGTGCGTGTGTGTGTGCGCGCGCGCGTGTGTGTGTGTGTGTGGACATGACGGCACAGATAGTTCTTTTGATTGCATTACTTAAAAATTGTTATCCCCTCGTCGCCTTTTTATCAGAATAAAAAGTCGTTTAACAAACACACACGCTATACATGTAACTGATACCGGTAGGTACTGTATCTGCAAAGCTAAAAAACACTAAAATATTTTGTAATCAATTTCTTTCATTCTTCCCAATTGGCCAAGCTCTCACTTCAAAAATAATCAATTCATTCTAAAATTATATTTATGTCACAACAAAAAGAACTACATCACCAGTGACTCTACTGACGTCATGACATGAATTTGTCGTTTATACTTATTTTTATTCTGCACCGTACCTGCAAATATTGCCTTTCAACGGTCTACTGAACTGGCTAGCATGGTAAGATCATCCACTCTCCGGCTCCCTCACTGGGCCTCAGCCACACCAAAGCCCGCGGGTCAGCTCAGCACTCAGCCGTGTTGTAATCTCGTCACCTGTCCAACTCTGGGAAGTGTCTACAAGAAATGTAGTTCTACAGATAGCTGTGTGCCATCGTGTTAGACTTCCTCACACTCGCACGTGGATCTACACTCCAAACACTACAAACTACTGATAAACTGTCCACGTGTAGACTCTTCGACCAAACAAGGAAAATGATAATAATTATTATACTGAAAGACTGTCAAACGTCCAAAGTAATAGTTTCATCCGTCATCACGTTGACATGGATCTCCAGTAGATGTGTGGACAAGGGCTATCAGCTCATCTGCTACTTGCTGTCTACACGTATCGGTATTCAAATTGTTTGTTGGAAAATACTACTAATACTATGCGTACTACTGTGCTACGGTATGCCATAAGCAGCAAATTTGTCATACGGGAGCCATAAAAATACGGTACATCCGCGTGCTCTTGTGTGGGAGCCAGTTCACCATCGATGCACCGGCCATGCATGCCTTGGCCCTTGAGCTGCCCAGGCCAGTCTAGTATTCGCCACAACAAAATTCGAGATGTGACAGCTCGCCTCCTAGATCCTGACGAGAGTGGTTTCCAATGTCTCCGTCTCGGTTGAGCCTCACCTCGAGCCTCCTCACCTCGAGCCTCTGTCGGGTGAGTAGCTCAGGATGATTTGAACGCACATAATTATATTATTGAATCAATGATGTAAGGGTTTTCAGCCCATTTGCGCCCTCAAATCGCTCCTCCTCCGTCTCCACAGCCTACAGAACACCCGGCCCCGGTCGGTACCCGCCATGAAAAGGCAAAGAAGCGGTCGTAGATCTACGGATTCTGAGGTGAAACTGTTGTGCTCCCTCCCCAGGATCGAGTCGTCGATTTTAGAAATAGTTATTATTATTATTATTATTTGAGGGATTCCCCAAAGGCCGAATCAAGGGGGTCTCCGAGAATAAATACGTGTACAATGCGTGTACAATAGGGTGCAATTCTTAAAGGGGAAGTATACCCTAAAATCAAATTTTCACCAGTTGTAGTCTTCGGGGTGCTGAGTCGAATGGTCTTGGTCCGAGGAAGCTGAGACGCTCCCTTCCTAGTTGAATCCCAATCGAACTCGCGCACTTCCACCGAAACTGGGTGACTGCGCCCTACTAGATGGGGATTTGTATGCAAAATGTCACTAAAAGCGCCATTTCGTTCTCATAAAAGCACGGATGACCGCGATTGGCCCATATGTTGTAGTCTTTTGGACGCTGAGTCGACTGGTTTTGGTCTGAAAAGGCTGCGATGTAGCGTTCCTCCTTTATTCCCAATCGAACATGGTTGAACAAGCGGTCACGTGCTTCTGCGTACACCAGTCACCTGGTCACCGTGCCTGCAGGGTACAACTTACTAGCCTGTTTGACCTTTTTTGGGTGCACTCCTGTCACTCGAGTTGAACTCGAGTTGAACCTTGGTGTGAAATTTTTCGCCTGCTGGCGTGGTGACCAGGTGATTTGGGCACCCAGGAGCACGTGACCGCTTGTTCAACCATGTTCGATTGGGAATAAAGGAGGAACGCTGCATCGCAGCCTTTTCGGACCAAAACCAGTCGACTCAGCGTCCAAAAGACTACAGCATATGGGCCAATCGCGGTCATCCGTGCTTTTATAAGAACGAAATGGCGCTTTTAGTGAGATTTTGCATACGAATCCCCATCTAGTAGGGCGCAGTCACCCAGTTTCGGTGGAAGTGCGCGAGTTCGATTGGGATTCAAGTAGGAAGGGAGCGTCGCAGCTTCCTCGGACCAAGACCATTCGACTCAGCACCCAGAAGACTACAACTGGTGAAAATTTGATTTTAGGGTATACTTCCCCTTTAAAAGGAAGAAAATATTAAGATTAAAAAAGATTAATGTGAAGAGGTTAAATAAGAAGTCTGAGTAGAAGCAAGCGAAAAGGGTACTGGTAAAGAAGGGGGTAATCAGGAAGTGAGAAAACCTCGAGGATGGAATCTATACCTGTGGAAATGGGACTTAACGTGCCGGCTAAATACACCACAAGTTAAGACGCTGGCAACATTAAATTTTGTGACGGAGTCCGCAGACCGCGAGGCACGACTAAAGAATAGGATCGATGATTTGTCGAGGCAAATTGCAGGCCTGAACGAGGAGGTTGTCGCCCTCGGGGAGTCCGCCATTGCCGCGGCAAGTGCTTCTCCCCTGACTCCTGCCCACACGTAGCCAGCAGCGTAGATCTACGGTGGAAAGTAGAGCTGGAACTGGAAGGACCATGTACCAGCAAGCGTACCCGTACTCGCGCAGGTCAGCCTGCCACGTGTACCACTGATGCAGACGAACACCGTAGCATTTCCCGTAGCGTGGGTGACCCTGGCAGTGACCCCGAAACGTCAACCGACGATGAGGACAAGTCCCAGGCAATCGAGCGGCCCAAGCCACTGACGCTGCTAGAGCCAATCACGGATGATACGTGGAAGCTGGTATCGAATGAACCTCACAGAGTGAGGAAGGCCGTAATCCATAATGGGTAATCTGAACTCACATAGCTAAGCAATGAAGAAAGTGTCAATTAATTCGCTGAGCAACGCTCTGCAGCAGTGAACAAACCGGTTAAGGTCCACCAGTGCAGCATACACACCACAGAAGATGGGAAAGTGTCTGCCCACTTGATGATCGATGCGACTGATCTTGAAATTGCCATTGCTCCAAACTTCTGGCCTCTCCCACTGTACGCGCGGGTTTGGCGCCACCGTGAGCGTCAGCAGGGGGCCACCTTGTCCGGCTCACACAGTGACGCCGAGTCTCTCCGAGTCCTCCGCCACTCAAGCTCAAAGTTCCAACTAGATCCTTTCCGATCCTGCTGACGAACACATGTGGACTACTGAGTAAACTTGGCGACTTTCACCATGCTGTGCACGTTTACCAACCTGACATTGCCATTGTCACGGAGAGCAAGCTAACCCCTGAGAAGGCTACTGATTCCAAACTGTCCTTGCCTGGCTCCTACTCCCCACTGCGAAAAGATCGAACAGCTCATGGAGGAGGCGTTGCGGTTTGGGTTAAAGCCAATCTGGCCCTCTGGGAACTCGATGACATCCAGGTCAGGAATCATGAGGAGCTAATATGGCTGATTGTCAGAACTGTGGATAAGAAGTCAGTGACTGTGTGTGCTGCATATCGCTCTGGCTCCTGCCAGAACAACATCAGTAACCTTGAAGCCGTCAGTGCTGGCATCGACCTGGCCCGTATATCTTGTCAGTATGTGGTATTGGCTGGAGATTTTAACGTACACAATGTGGATTGGCTCAGCAGCACTATGACAACTCATGCAGGTGTGTACACTGAAGACATGTGTGCTTTCCACTGCTTGGAGCAGCAAATGCATGAGCCCATCAGGGCTCGACTTAATAATGACTGACCTGCTGGGAGATGCGACAGTCAACACCTTGGGAAACTCTAACCCTGCCTTGGATCCTAGCTGGCTTTCATGTAAGCACAGCAGAGGAACCGCCAGTGACCAGAACTGTCTGGCTTTACCAACGCGCAGACTGGTACAGACTCCGCCACTTCTTTAGAACAACAGACTGGCAGTCCACTGTCAGTGATGATCCTGATGCAATGTGTGTGCAATTGACCCAGCCCATTCTGGAAGGAATGCGCCGATACTTACCGTCTAAGCAGCTGAGCATGACACCATCTAACCCCTCTTGGTGGACACCGGAATGCACTGAGGCTGTAGCACAGAAACAAAGAGCATGGAGGAGACTCCGCGCCGACCGGTCAAGTGCCCAGCTGCAAGCCCATTACAATGTAGCCAAGCACTCAGCTAAACAATGCCTAGCAACTGCCAAGCAGGCATTCACAGCAAGCCTGGCGCAGAAGTTAGCCTCTGGGTGTGTGGCATCTGGTGAATGGTGGCGAACCATCAATAAGGCCTCTGGCCATGAAAACAGCCCATCCATACCTACTCTCCGCAGCACCGATGGTACGGAGTACGACACCAACCGCAGAAAAGCAGAGTGCATGGCCGAACACTTCACCAACAAATGCAGTCTAGGGGCAGACGACCTATCCGCCCCATTTCCTCCCGTCCGATCACACACTAACCGCAACCTCTGCACCGTCCGGTTTCGCAAGATCACAGTAGAGCGAACCCTCCGCCAGCTCAACCCCACCAAGGCCACTGGTCCAGATGGAACACCTGCTCGTGTCTTGAAAGCTTGCTCTGCAGAATTGGCACGGCCGCTTTCAAAGCTTTTTCAATGCTGTCTTCGCTCCGGCATCCAGCCACAACAGTGGAAGGTTGCAAACGTTGTTCCAGTCCACAAGCGCAAGTCATAATCGTTGCCATACAACTATCGAACAGTGTCGCTACTGGGCATTCTCTCCAAGGTCATGGAGACTATAGTCAACAGGGCACTGATGATCAGCAACTTCATGGAGACGAATCATGTCCTGTCAGAACGGCAATTTGGCTTCCGTCGCAGCCACAGTGCAGCAGACCTGCTGACTGCTCTCCACCACCAGTGGGTGCACACCGCAGGAGACAAAGGAGCTTCACGAGTGCTGGCCATCGACATCGCTGGAGCATTTTGACCGGGTGTCCCACACTGGTGTGTTGCACAAGGCTAGAGTGTATGGCATCTCGGAAGACCTGCATCGGTGGCTCCAAGACTACCTCTGCAACCACACACTTCAAGTCCTCATATCTGGCCAGACATCAGCCAGACGACCGGTTAAGGCTGGGGTGCCACAGGGCAGTATCCTGGGCCTCACCGTATTCCTGGTCTATGTCAACGACCTCGAAGACCATCTCCCAATCGGCTCCAACCTCGCCTCATTTGCCGACGATACAACCCTATACGCCGAAATCGCAACTCTCGCTGCTGTTCCTGACAACGCTAGAGTACTCCAGGCTGCTGTTGACCTCGTATCCAGTTGGGGCTTGGATTGGAAAGTGCAGTTCGAGCCAGCCAAATCCCAGGCCCTCACAATTTCCCACCATCGTCGTAACTGGCCACTACCCCCAATTGTCTTCAATGGAACTCCTGTCGAGGAGCAGCCCTCCATCAAAGTACTCGGCGTCACGTTTGACCAACAGCTAAATTCAGCCAGCATATCCGAATCGTTGTAGTCCGAGCAACGCAGAGACGGTTATGGAGTACTGCCCAATCGTCTGGATGAGGGCAGCTCCTTCCCACTTGAATCGGCTGGGCTGGGTGCAGGAGCAAGCCATCAAGGCAATACATCCGCTATGCTGGCTTCCTAGCCTCACAATTCGCCGCACCATCGCTACCCTCTGCCTCCTGTATAAAGCCCTTTGCGA